TTCAGCCCGCCACATCTTGGACAAATCTCTAATCCGGGAGTTCCACCAACTACATCCGGACCAACCATCACGTCCTCAACCAGCGTGGTCGAGACGTTCACCACCCTCTCCTTCTCGTCATGTGTCAAGCAGGGCCAGGTCTGGATCTCCTGCTCCTGGGAGGCACAGGAGGATCGTGGTCAAGTTTGATGGCAACCTCTCTGAGGAGTACTAATCTGTTAATTTCCCTCCTCGCTGTTTCTTGGGACATCAAGTCTCACCGGCTCTGTGAACGAGATTCCTCTCGCTGTTTTTTTGAGGGGAGTTCCTGCAGTTTTCTGCTCATCCTTTCCGCTCCTGATTTGGTTCCGCTGCTCCACTGCCCAGAGGGAATCCACCGAGGTGACATCACTCCCGCGGGATTCCCTTTCAAGTGGGAGTAGCTGCGTCAGCCATTGGATCACTAAGCGGAGATCGTTTCAGTTTGTCAAGAGACTTTTTTCTCGAAACAGAGACTCCCTTTGTTCAAAGACTTTCAATATCAAGATGCCTGTTTATACTCTACGTTAATTTGAGAGACCTCCTTTTTATTTCAAGTGGAGATTCCTTTGTTGAAAGACTCCTTCAGTATAAGAGGTACTTGCACAGTAATTGTACCTGCTGATCCTGCAATAATCTTTTGAAAGAGCTTTTGCATTAGTGTGTTGCATTTGTGTCCAAAAGCCTGATAATCCTGACACAGGATCTTCCTGTTGTAGGCATTCTCATTTCCCATTGGGTCAATTACAGTGAGAAACTTCTGCCGTGTTCACAACCTAAAGTAAAGTGATTTCATATTTCATATCAATAAACAGGCTGTATAAGGACTTCCTTTACTATGCTTAATGGTTACTCTACATAGTCTTGCACAGCCTGCTTAATTTGTTCCACATAACAAAAGAGAAAATCTGCAAGCTTATGCAATACTGTGAACCCTGTGCTAATTTAGTAAGGTACTAACTTTTAAACCAGCTGGAAAATCACACCGCTATTAGACATTTAAATTCCATACACATAGGTTGCAGGCTACTAGTTTTATGACTATAAAAAAATTACGCAAATTCAGTAAGGAACTGTTTTAAAACAGCAGGAAAATTCGGAGGCTACATGAGCAAATATTATGACTACATGAAAATGACAATAATTTGCAGTATTAGCTATTCAAACTGCATTCAGACATGATCTCATGCACGTGGCAAGTTGAAATAATTTGTCTGTCAAACCGATGCATTGCATACTGATCATATAAAGTATTAAAAATACAAGAAACTAACCTTGTTTAACCATCAGGTTGCAGAAAACTATGGCTTGTCTGCAGCAGCAAATTGGCCGGTGTACACATGCGCAGTGTAGGAAAAAAACTATAGGTAGGAAAAAACTTCAGAACACCGGGGCTGCACCGTGCTCTTCCTAGCAGCTGAGCGCTAACGTGTTATATCTCCATTATACAACTCTACTGTGCATATAATTGTGTGGGAAAGGGTGATCAAGGAGTGTGCAGACCAGCTGTCCCACATGCTCACTGACATCTTAAACACATCTCTAAACCAGACCATCGTCCCCTCATGCTTCAAGTCAGCCACCATAATTCCAGTGCCAAAGAAAGCAACCACGCATGCCTTAACGACTTCCACCCTGTTGCACACCCACCATCATGAAGTGCTTCGAGCGGGTGGTTAAGGACCATATTGTCACCATATTGCCACCACCATTCGACCCGTTTAAGTTCGCATACCAGCCTAACCACTCCACTGAGGACACCATTTCGACTGCTCTCCACCTGAGCCTGGAGCACTTGGAGGGAAAGAACACCCACGTAAGGATGCTGTTTCTGGATTTCAGCTCAGCATTCTACACGATCATCCCCAAGGACCTGGTATGCAAACTAGGCCCCCTGGGGCTTAACATCCCCTTTGCAACTGGCTGCTGGACTTCCTCACTGACAGAACCCAGTCTGTCCAAGGGAGCAACAATACATCCAGTGTCATCTCCCTGAGCACTGGCTCCCCTCAGGGCTGCGTTCTGAGCCCTCTGCTGTTCAACCTGATATCCCATGACTGTCGTCCCAGGCACAACACCAACCACAAACTAAAGTATGTGGATGACACTACAGTTGTGGGCCTCATTCAGGATGACAACGAGCTGGCCTACAGAGAGGAGGTATGTCATCTGGTGGACTGGTGTCAGACAAATAACCTGCTCTTGAACATTAACAAGACAAAAGAGATCCCAACCCAGCCACACACCACTACTCATCAATGACACAGCGGTGTAGGTCATCAGCAGCACCAAGTTCCTGGTGGTGCACAGACAACCTTGGCTGATCACTACACACCATCTC